CACATGATAAGAGAATAATATCTTCTAAGTATGAAGAAAAATAGCTGTCAACCTAGAATTGTATACCAAACTAAATTACCTTTAAAGATTGATCATAGAATAAGAACATTTTTATACAAAACAAAAATAACACATTTACCAGCAATGCTAAAGGATATCCTAAAGGATTCAAAAAGAGAAAAATTATTCCAGAAGGACAGAAGGAGATGCTAGAAGGAATGAAGAGGAAAAAATTGGTAAACATGTGGGTAAATCTAAATAAAGCATGAACTAATAATAATAATGTGCAGTTTGTAGTAACAAACAAGATATAAGTAAAAAAAGTAACATATATAACAGGAAGGTAAAAGTATTCCAGTGTCTTTATCTTATTTGGAAGGAGGCCAAAGATGTTATTTAGATTTTATTAAGTATATACATAGACTTTCTAGGTTTAGTCACTAAAATAAAGGAAATGCAATGTAGTAGAGGGGGAATCAATGGAATGAGACAATAAAATAAATAGCAACTAACTCAGTAAAAAGGGAATAAAGAAATTTAACATGGATCTCAGTAACTGTTCCTGGGGTTCTTACCCTACAATTACAAATACTAAGTAACTATGTCAGGGAGTTCATATCAATACACCTACAGGATAAATGAAAAATGAAATAGTCTTTTTTAAAATTTTTTTTAAAGATTTTATTTATCAGAGAGAAAGAGAAAGAAAAAAAAAAGAGCAAGAAAAAAGAGCTGGGCAAAGAAAGAGCAGGAGGAGGAGGGTCAGAGAGAGGGACAAGCAGACTGTCTGCCGAGCAAGGAGCCCGATGCGGGGCTCCATCCCAGGACCCTGGGACCATGACCTGAGCCGAAGGCAGACGCTTAACTGACCGAGCCACCCAGGCACCCCAAAAATGAAATAGTCTTAATGATATGTGAACAGCTGTTTCTGGCTTGGGGTGAAATGTTCGCTAACAACCTCATCTTGATGACACAGGACATGGGTTATGGGAGAGGAACAACAAATGTAGGGAACACAGATCTTTCAAAATGGACAGTAAGCCTGCAAGAGCTCTGCCCCAGAGAGAGATACTCCCTTAATGATACTTCATAGTAAACAAATCTGCTCTTCCCTCTGGAAAAAGACATGGTTTCCCAAGACTGTTCATTATACAAACACCTTTGAAAGATAGAGCAGTGCCTTTGCTTGTAAGTTGTGCAGAAATGTGAGATACCCATGGAGAGATATCTCCCAACAAATTTGGGTAAGTTTCTAAAGCCTCAGTT